GAGGGCTCCTCTACATGACTGTGTGTGAGGCATGGAAGGAGGAAGCTTAGGGAAGGCTATGACCTGGCTCCTGGCCACCAGGATACCACTGGGGCACAGCAGAAGTAGCTGCCAGTCTGTTCAGAGTGCCAATTGCCCAGGCTCTCGGACAAAGGGCCTTCTGTGCGCAAACCCTAATACTGAGTTCACAGGTCCACACCCATCCAGGCCTATCCATTAGAGGTTCCTGAGGCTCACTCCACCAGGGGACACAAGGCTATTTTAGCTGTCACTACAGGGATTAAAATGCTAAGGCCCTTAGCACTTAGGACCACTGCTTTCTCAAAGATTTCCATGGAAAAGTGATCACAAGTTTGTTACTAACTGCAAGCCCAGTGTTTTCAGTGTGCAGGTCTTAGATGTACAGTAGATCTTGAGAGTCAAGATCTGTTTTATTCAGTGTTGAATGCCTAGCGCTGAAAAAAGTGTCTAGTACATGGAGCAATGTTGTAGGTATTTGCTGGATGGGTTGGGGAATGAGAGATGTAGAGATGCAATGTGATCTACAGCAGGTGGGTTTAGGACTACATGTGGTTGTTGTCTATGAAGCCGTGTAGATAAATAGAAAGTTCTGCTACATGCAACCAACCAAATCCTCTCATGTACTTCCTTTTATATATGCTGAAGACAGAAGTAGGAGCAATGGAAAACAGAAAAAGGGCTAGTCTGGAACTGACTAGGGGAAACTGCCCTCAAAGCCAGCTATCCAGCTGCTATTAGACTGTTTTTCTTATAAAATTAATCCTGACTCATTATGGTTCTGTGGAAGACGCTTTGGCATGGGGAAGTTATATCCTCCTGGAATCATCCTTTTCTTTTCCATGAACTAAGGGCATTCATAACTCAATCCACCGCCCCCACCCCCCACCCAGTCCTTGGGGTTTTCCCATTGAGTTTCAAGATCTCTCAAACTATTATATTCTACTTAGTTTCCAGGTACATAATTCCTGAACTCCTGTTTTCTAAAGTCCTTAATCAAAGCTAGAGTTAATTAGCAAATTTTCAAAAAAGAACATCTTATTAAAATCACATGTTCTCAATTGGCATAATGGCCACTTCTAATATGAGGGGGACTCCAAAAGTTCATGGAAAACAGAATTAAAGTATGAATTTATTTTGATGCAAAAAATTGAAATCCATAAATATTTTTCCATAATATGTATTTCCACACATTTTTAGAAGACCCCCTTATATAGTCTGGAGCTCCAAATCTCCAATGAAGTTCATTGAAAACTATCCAGAACTTTCTGAGGTCATGGTTTTGTGTCCCTTAAGCTGGAGCCTAGAATGAACATCAATGACAGAAATGACTTTCTTAGGCTTGTGACCACCGTGGAAGAGACAGAAATGAGGAAAACAACAAAACAAATCAAAACAAAACTATTGTGACACCTCTTGGGCCCTACATGGCACCATACTTTGTAAAACATTAAATCTGACTAGGTAGGTGGAATCATTTAGAAGCTCGTATGGAATCTAAAGAATGCAGGCCAGGTTTGTAATTAAATACCATGATGAGTGCAATTCAAAGTTGACTACAAGAGGGGTTTTTATCAGGGTCAGAAAGGGCTTATTCGGGCTTGTTTTCAGGTCTAAAAACCCCTAGCCCCAGTTCCTCCTCAGCAACCCATTTCCTGGGACCCCTTCCTTCTTGAGAGCTGGTTTTCCTCCCCTCTCATTATATAAACTCTCTGTTTTGCTATACTAAAATAAATAAATAAAAACTTGACTAGAAGAAAAAGAAACAATTCAAACAGTTTCACAGACAACATATACAGATGGTTAGTCAAGTCACCTGCTGCAGGTCACGTTGCATCTTTCACTCCCCCATTTATCCATCAAATATCTACCAAGCCCCTCCCCACCATGTGCCAGGCACTGTGCTCAGCACTGGATATTCAATGCTGAACAAAGTAGTTCTTGACTCCCAAGGCTAATCATAATATTTTGGTAATATATTTCTGCCCCTATCATAATTATTCTTTCTCCATCCTGTCTTCCCAGGAAATGCCAGTCTGAGGAAGGAGCAAAACCTGGAGACAAAAATGATCCCAACAGCTGCACATAACATAGATGATATGACAGTTTTAAAACATGTCTACAGTCAGGACAAGCAGTTGGTATAGTGATTACATCGCTGGACTCCCACATGGCCAACTGCGATTTAAGTCCTGGACCTGGGGACTTGAAACTCACACTAGGTGCAGGTGTGTGCATGCCCAAGATCCCAGGAAGAAAATGGAGAAGGGATTCCACTTCTAATATGAGGGGGACTCCAAAAGTTCATGGAAAACAGAATTAAAGTATGAATTTATTTTGATGCAAAAAATTGAAATCCATAAATATTTTTCCATAATATGTATTTCCACACATTTTTAGAAGACCCCCTTATATAGTCTGGAGCTCCAAATCTCCAATGAAGTTCATTGAAAACTATCCAGAACTTTCTGAGGTCATGGTTTTGTGTCCCTTAAGCTGGAGCCTAGAATGAACATCAATGACAGAAATGACTTTCTTAGGCTTGTGACCACCGTGGAAGAGACAGAAATGAGGAAAACAACAAAACAAATCAAAACAAAACTATTGTGACACCTCTTGGGCCCTACATGGCACCATACTTTGTAAAACATTAAATCTGACTAGGTAGGTGGAATCATTTAGAAGCTCGTATGGAATCTAAAGAATGCAGGCCAGGTTTGTAATTAAATACCATGATGAGTGCAATTCAAAGTTGACTACAAGAGGGGTTTTTATCAGGGTCAGAAAGGGCTTATTCGGGCTTGTTTTCAGGTCTAAAAACCCCTAGCCCCAGTTCCTCCTCAGCAACCCATTTCCTGGGACCCCTTCCTTCTTGAGAGCTGGTTTTCCTCCCCTCTCATTATATAAACTCTCTGTTTTGCTATACTAAAATAAATAAATAAAAACTTGACTAGAAGAAAAAGAAACAATTCAAACAGTTTCACAGACAACATATACAGATGGTTAGTCAAGTCACCTGCTGCAGGTCACGTTGCATCTTTCACTCCCCCATTTATCCATCAAATATCTACCAAGCCCCTCCCCACCATGTGCCAGGCACTGTGCTCAGCACTGGATATTCAATGCTGAACAAAGTAGTTCTTGACTCCCAAGGCTAATCATAATATTTTGGTAATATATTTCTGCCCCTATCATAATTCTTCTTTCTCCATCCTGTCTTCCCAGGAAATGCCAGTCTGAGGAAGGAGCAAAACCTGGAGACAAAAATGATCCCAACAGCTGCACATAACATAGATGATATGACAGTTTTAAAACATGTCTACAGTCAGGACAAGCAGTTGGTATAGTGATTACATCGCTGGACTCCCACATGGCCAACTGCGATTTAAGTCCTGGACCTGGGGACTTGAAACTCACACTAGGTGCAGGTGTGTGCATGCCCAAGATCCCAGGAAGAAAATGGAGAAGGGATTGCAGTATGCCCATCCCCCTGAGGGGAGATTTCTCACTTTCCCTTTTACTGTCTGTCTCTCTCTCTCTCTCTCTCTCACACACACACACAAGTACACATATCCTAAAGCAAAAACCTCTAAAAAACAAACAACAAAAAAACAATCTGCACTCTTCCTATACAGAGGTTGTGGCCTCTGTCCTCTTCTGTCTTAGTCTATTATTGTGTTGCTAATAAAATTACCTGAGACCAAGTGACTCATAAGAATAGAGGTTTGTTCAGCTCAGGGTTTGAAGGTCCACGGTCCTAGAACCAGCTTCTGGTGAGACTACAACACGGCAGAGGGCAAGATCTTGAGCAGACTAAGGGTCCAAAAGTTTTTGCCTATTCTCGTCTCTTTGCCCATCTTGTAAATTTACCAGAACTCAATCATAAGGGACCTACCCTAATGACCTTGTCATACTGAAAGGCCCCAACCTGGGACACCACGAAGGGATTAAGTCCCAACACAGGAATTTCTGGGGAACATCCAAACTACAGCATCTCCCATGGAATCTGGGCTGACCCTAGGAACTTGTTCCTAACCAACAGAAAGTCACAGAAGAGATTCTGTTAAATGTCTAAGATTGGATCAGAAAAGACAATGTAGCTTCCACCTTGCTCAGACACTCATATTTTGGACCCCTGAGCTATCACTTAAGAAATTTGCCTATCCTGAGGCCACCATGCTGAGAGGCAGCTTAGTGTGTATGGAGAAGCCATGTGTGGGGATTATAATCCAAGGTCCTAAATCTTTGAGTCTTCTCAGCCAGTGCCAGACATATAGATAAAAGAGCCTTTGGGTAAGTCCAGACCCCTGCAGTGGGGTTACCCTTCAACCTCCCAGTTTTCCTACCTGAGGTCCTGAATTTGATGGGACAAAGACAAGCCATCCTTACTATGCTTTTTCATACAAGAGGACTTCAAAATAGTTTGTGGAAAAACAGAATTCAAAGACAAATTAATTTTGGTCCAAAAAAATTGAAAGCCATGCATTTTTCATAAACACAATTTCTGTGTACTTTTTGAACAAGCTGCATATTCCTGACCTAGAGAATCCCAGGCCCTGGAGGAATGCCTGCAGTCATTCAACGTCTCTCCTCTCTTCTTCAGATTACCTGGGCTGCAAAGTTAAATCATATCCTTCTCTTCCCTTCCCCTTGGGTATTACTGACAGAACAGTTACAGAACCAATATATACATTATGGAAAAGAAAGGAACTTAGTCTAAATCCTCTTCCTGGCCATCCCAGATCCTTCAAGTGTTTAAGAATATAGGCTCTGGGATCAAATCCTGGATCCATCACTTTCTAATTCTTTGACCTTAGATGATTCACTCAAACTCTTAAGCTTTTAATTTGTGGAATGATGATAATAGTACCCATCTCAAAAAGTGTTTTCAAGATCACAATGCAGGAATCCAGGTAAAGGACCCGTCTTGTAGCTATCTTTAATCATGTCTTTCCTGGGAAGAAGCATCTCTTGTGACTTACCCCTTGTAAGACTTGAAAGCTGTCATTGTTGGGTGGTGGGTCTTGATCTGGGTCAACACCAACTCTAAAAGTCATTGGACAGAAAGACAAGGAGAAAAAACAAAAAGTATTAGCTTGGCTCATGGCAGCCAGGTTGGCTGAAAGTAGCCAGAAGGCTGATCATCTTCTGGAAGCAGAAGGAGTGGTTAGCTAAAAGGAGAGGAAAGTTGTCATGCAGAAGTCATGAGAAAGAGGTTGCATACCACATCAGATCCCAGAGTGTCAGAAGAGGTGAAAAATCCCACGTGCTTATGCCCTAAATAAGGTCTCTCCACTTCATTGAGTCTTTCTTCACTGCTCTCTTGTCACTTCTTACCTGACTTGCTTTTATTTCCCTGATATTTTGTTACAAAACATTTTATATATATAGGAAAATATTGAAAAATGTATAGAGAACAACTGTATAGCCACTACCATTAGATTCCACCATTAACATTTTACTGTACTTTATTATCTATCTATCCATTTCTCTATCACCCATCTTATTTTTTGGAAGATTCAAATAAAGCTGAAGACAATATCACACTTCCCCTGAATACTTCAGCATGAAGATTGACAAAGATTCTTGGGAACCAGCAGTTAGCGTAATGGCTATGTCGCTAGACTCCCACGTAGTTGACCGCAGTTCATGTCCTGGACCTGGTGGCTTAAAACTCACGCCGGGCGCATGTGCGTGCATGCCCAGGATCCCAAGAGGAGAATGGAGGAGAAGGGATTGTGGTGTGACCATCCCCCCGGGGGGTGATTTCTCGCTTTCTTTCTCTATGTCTCTCTCTGTCTGTCTGGCGAGCGCACGCGCCCTATAGCGAAAATCTCTCCCCCCCCCCCAAAAAAAAAGATTCTCTCCTTGACTGGACTTCAGTTTCCTCTAAATTCTCTTTCCAACTAAGGCCCTCACTTTTGGGTTTCCATATTCATCTTTGTGTTGCCCATTTTTAGCAAGAATCTTGCTAAAAGTTGGGTTAGCTGGAACCCCCACCCCAATATCTTCTCCCTGTCAATATCTCATAAGGTTCCTCATCCTCATGATGTTTGATCACCTGGCAGTTTAGTAAGAACCCCCTTACTCCTAAATGTTCTTCTTAATAATTTTCCATCTACTAACACACACGCCCTCCCCCCATTGCAAAAACCCCATCCCAGTAGTCCCTATATCAAACACGATGGTCATGAATAATCTGCCATACTGTTTTAACAAGTGTCAGAATAATATTTTCTTTAATAATGTCCTTAACTGGAATCCTCACCTCTTTTAATGCTGGTGCCCCATGCCCTCCTGTATCAAAGACGACCTAAGTGTCCACACATTTGAGATGACAACTGATGACAGAAAGGAAAAGCAAAGTGGCAAAATCCACTTTGAACAAATCCCATAAAAGCGCTAGGGCAGTTGTCCTGGCTTAGTGACATACCAATTGTGGCTCTATGCAGCTGTTAATTTTTTTTTTTTTTTTTGGGGGGGTTTTTTCT